CAGTAATTCCACTGCTAGTAATCTACTCCACAGAAATTCCTCTTCCTCCATACTACTCATTCTTTTATGTAGAAAAACTGCAACATGGTTTGGAGTGAAAAATTTGAAGTCAAGTAAAAAGAAAAATGAACTGGTAATTATGGTTCATTCTTATAAACTATGAAGTCACTGCTTAAAAACACAAGGACCTCTACATATAAAGAAGCCAACACAGTACGTATAGAATGATTCCTTTTATGAACAACAATAAGAACAGCATCATCCAGGATCACGCATACACACCTAGGACAGAAGAGAAAGCCACAGCACCTGCGACAGCTAGTGCTTCTAACACATGGACAATGTGGGCCTGCCCTCCCTTCAGACCACTGCTCTAGGGTAGTGATTCTCTGACTGAAGGGAGGGATTTAAGAATTCCTCCACAAAACCCAGGATCCTGTCCTAACATCTGAAACCAACCATAACTTAAAACAATGCATGCTGTTAGGGATAAAAGACCTCAAAGACTTCAAAAACACTGGAAATGAGAGTTTAGGGTCCCAACTGTTTTTTCCATGAAGGTTTTCAACTGCTCTGTTGCCTTGTACTCACTGACGCCAGGAATCCCAGAACTTCAGACCAGCCTTAATTCCACCTTCCCCACAGCAGACCCGCCTCCTCTTCCCTGCTCTTGGATGTTTCTCACACCTAAGGCCCTACGTGAGCCTGTGAGCCCACACAACAATGACTAACTTCTTACCAGGCGTATTTTTAGTTCTGGGCTTCTTCTTCTTGGGACGGTTAAGTGGAATATCATCTATGAGACAGAAAGAACAACAGAAATGGTTGCCTAACATTCATTCACTGCAGGGAACACTCCAAAAAAAAAAAAGTAAAACAAAACAAAAACCTTGTAGCAAGGACACACTTTCCCCCCTCTTCCTTGGGTCCAGTCTACTTCTACTCATTGGGAGAAAAAGGACAAGAAATCCACAGACAACGTCCAAGAGACCTCCAGTGTGGTGGCTGACGGTCAGTACTGTTAGAAACTGTGGCATAGGAAATGGGTTTAAACGTTCATCTGAATCCCTACAGTCCTCTCCGCTCCCTGCACCCTGCTTGCAGTCAGGCATAACCTCTGACTAATTCCAGCCACTACGCTATGGGTCAGTGTCCTGCAAGAGCTAAAACTCCAAAAGAGCTAAGGAGCAACCTCCAGCTCTCTCCTTCCTTGTGGTGGCACCTGCCAAAGCAGGTTAGGATGGCAGAGCCAAAGGGCACAATTACTGTGGGTTACTACGTCTTGAGGTCACAGGTAGTCCAGGGCATCCGCCCGGAACTGCTGCACAATCTACCCTGCATTCATCAGACATACCCCTGTGTGACATTACATCCCTGAGACTTGGGGGTTCTTAGTGCAGCCAAACTTCACCCGTTCTGACCAAACGAGACAATGGAAGATGCAGTCCCCGTTACGGAGCTTACACTAATGACTTAGGTTCTGGATGACTCTTTCTAGTGATGAAATACTTCTGTCACATCAAGATCATCTAGTTTATACGCTGTCATAATGTTTAAATAGCAGCTGTAGCCAATTGTTATCACACAAAGCATGGTTTTATACATTTTAAGAGAATTTTTAAATTTTTAAAAAATTTAAATTTTTAAAAAAGAATTAAACTTTTTTGAACACTAATTTTTGAATATAGTATTTTAATACAAGGTCTATATTTTTAAAATTCCACATGATAGTAAATTAACTTACCTTGAATAACACTTCACATGATACAGACCAAATTTAGTCAGGAGAAAAACAGAAAAAGAAACTTTTAATTCAAAATTTATGACATTGTCAAACTAAAATGGACTAGAATCGTTATACATTTCAATTTAAAATAAAATTAGCAATCACACAATGTCACTAGTTTACAAACTAGTGTACTAATAAGAAATAAAACATTTACTACTAATAAAATAGCCCCAATACTCCTTATGGCTATATAATAAGGCAGATTAAGAACTGATTTGTCACTGACCATAATCAGCTTACACTCTGAGGAGACTATTCTGGCACACAAAAGAGGATGAGAATTATGGCCAGTCTACAAGACAGAGTTCAGAACACGTGCCCAGCCCACCATGTTGGCAGGCTGGCTTTTAAATAAAGAAGAACACTGGATTGTAACCGCCACCCTCAGGATTCAAACATGTTTTACCTTTAACATTTTACGAAGCCTTTCCCAGAAGTTTCAGGAAGTGTCTTCCGAACAGTCTTTTTCTCAACCCTACATGCCCGATTTTCACTGTATTCACTTTAGGTTTATAAAGTGCTACAATGAAATTACTGTCTATTGTGTTTACCTTGGCACAGGTGGAAGGGCTCGTGGAGGACGCTGAGGGAAAGAAGAAAGCGGTGTTAACGGACAGCCTGGGCATCTTTATTTCACCTCGAACACCATTAAGCAATTTTCTGGAAAGCCTGCTGTAGAGACACCGGAGAGGAATGTACTGGATCTGACTCTATCATCACATCTTTGATATCCGGTAGAATCAGTGCCCAGGAGCGCCCAGTCAGTCCTGCAGACCAAGACAACCGGATTCTTTCTAAAACTCAGTGGGGGTGAGGGGTAACCCTCAATGCGAAGCCAAAAGAATTTTCAGCCCCCGAGGAGCATGCTTTTGAAGACAGTACATACAACGCAAAAAAGATGCTAAGGCAGAAAGAAAGGGGGAAGAAGGAGATCATAAAGAAAACTCGTGACAGCAGTTCGGACAGCACTGCTGCCAGCATTCTGTAATCTCTGAAAAGAAAGACAATGCCTCAGTCTCTCAGGCTGCTCGCAGAAGAAACGGAGTTAACGCGGTTACATTCTAAGACCTTCCAACGTTCGCCCCATCTAGGAATCAATTTGTTCAAACAGTACATGCTCTAACGCGTAGGATGACACAGACAGTTCTAATTCCACCCAGCAGCCAAGCATTAGAAAAAAAAAAAATGTTGCACTACAGGGAGCTCCACGGTTCCTAAGATGCAACGAAGCTCGTTCCAGCCAAAGGCCCAGCTCTTGCTAACTCTTTCATTCAAAAATCCCGCAAAAAAATCAGGTCCCACCTACCCAGAAACCCAACCTCGAGACTCCTCAAAAGCAAGCACGATTCAACCAGAGACATAGGTCCTAACAGCGAAAAAATAACCACCGCTCGCTTACCACCTGCTTCTTCCCCATTGAGTCCGCAGCCGGGGCCCCCGCCGGCCCCACCAGGCGCAGGGCGCCACCCCTGCCCGGCCGGCCGCTCGCGCAGGCGCACTGCGTCATCGGGCTGCGCGGCCCCGGCCGCTCCGGGCCCTGCGACCCCCGATGGGCGACTGGACCGAGTGGTCCCCGGGTCGGGGCTGACCTCCGCAGACCGGCCCCGTGGGGGAACGGAGTCTGGGCTGGCCGGCCCGAGGGCAGAGCCTCTGGCGGCTGTGGCGCTCCGGTCACAGCTCCCCCCGCAGGGATACCTGAGCGGCCGCTGTGATTTTGTTAGCGGGGCCTGAGACAGGGCCCGGGTGTACAAGCCCGGCGCGCTCAGAGCGGAAGGCCCCGCGTTCCTGACGGAGTCTGCGTGAGGGCACCCGCCGCCCAGCCCGCGCAACCCGGAGCGTCGTCATGGCGACGCGAGCGCAAACCCCGGGACACGGCCTACCCGCCCGGGGTCCCCACTCGCTCTCGGAGTGCGGGTCCTGACCTCGGCCGCGCCCCAAGGCGGGTCTGCTCATCAGACCACTCACCGGGCGGGCCTCCTCCAGTCGAGGCTCCGCGTGGTCCCTCATGGCGCTCGCCCCTCGGGGTTCCCTCGGCGCAGCCGCCCGGGGCTGAGACCTGCTCCCCGCGCCGCGCCGGCCTCCGGGACCTGCGGGACCCGCGGGAGGCGGGGGCTTGGCAGCGCCTGGACCCGGGCGAGGCCGCAGACGCGGGAGCCGCCCGTTTATGCCTTGCCCGGCGCCGCGTTCCTAGGCGGCTGGATTGGGATCGGATGTGTGAACGCCGCTGCTGGCCACGATGTGGAAACGAGTATGGAAGTCTCTTTGATTATCGCAAAAATGCAGAATCCTTTTCTGAAAGCACAACACTAAATTTGAGCTCATCTAAGTGTCCTGTAAAAATCTGATTTTCTCCATTTTGTTTGGGTTTTTTTTTTAAAGGCAGCTAAGTAAAAACGAAATATTAACAACCAAAAAACAGACCAACCAACCTCCAAAATTAAGTCATGCACTCTGTTTTATAATTACGAAATGGAAGAGGTGGTGTGGAAAAGCAGGAAGAGAATGATGCAGAAAAAGAACAGTTAAGGGCCCGGCCTCTCAGACAGTGGGGAAGAAGATCAAGACTGTGAAATAGCATCATCATCATCTTATGACTTTTTTTTCCCTGTCTCCAGGACTGTCCCAGTGCCCCACATCCATACAAGTGGGTGATGGCTTTTAGCAAACGATTGTTAACTGCTCTGGTCCAAAAACTGTTTCCTTGTAGACTGATGTGTCAGTGTTGAGAGCAGTGTTGCATCCCCAGATTTTGATATGGACATGAATTGTGTGTATTAACCTTTCTTGCTGGTAGTCAATTAGTCACTTTTTGTGAAAGACATTCAAGCAGAAGGTTCATAAAGTAAAATGCACTTCTGAAATAAATGTTACTTATTTTATTTAGAAAAGTACCTTTTACTTGAACCTTGCAAGGACTGTCTGCCATCTCTAAGAGGTGCTCATTCTCAAGAACATTTTTTATATTCCTACCACAGCCACATAGGAAGTAAAGGGAAAAAAATACATTCTAGATGCCCAACATGTAATTCTATAACTTCACAATAGAATATATAGTCATACATAATTTTTGCAAAAGTGTTCATGAACTACAGCACTTGTAAAGTTGCACACATTAAAATGGGTCAGGTACAGCTGTTGAGATGCAGATGTTACTCTATTTCTCTCCCACCAGGGTGCAGTGTTGCACCACAGCATGCAGCAGGTGGCACCATCAAGACTCAGCGTCGGAGGATATCCATGTTGCTGGGACCCACTGAGGCTCATCCTGAGCCTTCTGTACGATACATAACAGCTGGGCACAGGCATCTTGCAAGTTGCCATTCACAATCATGTGATCGAAAAACTGGCCAAACTGAGCCTCCATTTTTTGGGATAACTCCTCCATTTCTTGTAGATCTTCATCCTTCAAGAGTAATAGAAGAATATAGATAGCAGAGACTTTATGCAGCAAATAAAAATAATACACCAACATGCATCCCATTTTGGTACCAATTCTAGTCTAGGCTCCTTGATTATGACCTGGGAAAGGATGGTCCAGGGCCTTAGGACCCTGCACCCAAGTGAGAGACCTGGAGGAAGCTTCTGGCTCCTAGCTTCAGATCAGCTGTGCTCTGACTATTCTAGCCATTTGGGGAATGAATGCTCTGTAAAATATGCCTTTCGGATAAACCTTTTTAAAAAAACGAGACCAATTTATAAATGCCACAGTCACTCAAAGAATTCCATGAACTGAAAGACAAACTGGAGAATCAGACCTTCATAGTCATTGAAAAGACACAAAAGACATCATAAAAGGTGCTTAAGGCAAGTACTTGATCTAGCAGTTAAGATGCTGGCTAGGTTGTCTGCTTCTTGGACAGGTGTTTGACACAGTGCTGAAGATGCCACCCTGGGGACACTTAGAGTTCCAGCTCCCGCTCTGATTCCAGCTCCCTGTTATTGGCCACCTGTGAAAAGGCAGCAAGTGATGCCTCAAGTTGTCATGGCCCTGTCATCTACAAGGAAGACCCAATTGAGTTCTGAATTTCTGACTTCGTCTGGGCCCAGCCCTAGACATTTGAGAAGTGAATCAGTGAGCAGAAGATTTCTCTCTCAATGTGTGCGTGTGTGTATATGAGCACCTTTTACATAAGTGAAACTTTCATTCCATATCAGAGTAACTGGGTTTAAATTCTGGCTGTGCTTCTCAATTCCAGCTTCCTCATAATGCTGATTATGAAGTGTTGGGCCCCAGCACGCACGTGGGAGACCTGAATTGAGCTTTCAACTCCAGGCCCAGCCTTAGCTATTTTTGGCATTTGATGAGTTAACCAGTAATAGGAGATCGTCTCTCCTTTCTGCTGTCTCCTCTCTCTTCTCTCCTTCCTCCTGCCTTCTCATCACCCCTCCCTCCCCACTTCCCTGAACTGCATTAGAAAGAAATAGACAGGAGTGTGTCAACTGGCAACTTAGCTGCTAAGGTAAATGCCAGCCCCCAAAGTTACATTCTTCAACACAGTCATCTATGGAAGCAATACAGCAAGTTATTTCTAATCACTACCTTATTGAAGGGTTTCAGGAGCAGATACAAAAGAAGAGATGAGACAAGAAGGACAGTGACTTCCAAGGTGCTCAGCTGGCCAAACCCAGATCTCTCCCCAGCCTACCTGTCACTACAAGCACTACAGTGGCCTCTCACTAAATCTTACTTTGAATTTCATGTCCACGAAGTAGTCGGTAATAATTTTGGCATTTTTCCGAGACTGTTTCATACAGTTCACATTGGATGGCTTTATAAATATGACATAGGGTTTCAGATCTTGAGTTCGAGCCATTTGAATATCCTACATGGAGAAGTTAAAGCACATTTAAAAACAGAAACCCCAGCTTCTTGATCTAAGATCAGAAATCACCAATTATTTTTAGCCAGCAAATAGTCTCATGTGGCCTCCAGTTTTTCATCATTAAATAGCATCAAATATTTTCTTCAAAAACTATGTGCAAACCCTGGCTGTGACTCTCACTAGCTAGGACTAGCTATCACAACCTTACTATCTGGGTAAGAATCTGTATGGGAAAGAATCTGAGTTACTGAGAGTAAATCTCCTTTGACAAAGATAAAGAGAGACCCTCAAGATGAATCTGTACTGTTTCCCCTCACTTTTCTTTCTTCTTGTTATCACCTAACATCGGATCACACTGCTATCTTCACACTGACCACCGGCCTTGACTCAAGGATCAATCTCCCTTCCTCCATTTCTCTTTAGCACTCAAAGTACCTTTTTTAATGACTAATAAAGCACGAGCAGAATTTAGTGATCATCAACAATGGGCCTTCAAATCACATTGTCTTGATTCCAGCTTAACTTGCTTATTTCTGCTTCAGTCCATGTCAAAGACACAACCACATATGTGGCAGCATAGCAACCTCACCTCCTTATGTAAAACAGCATCTTATTCCTACCATCAGAAGTTACCTTGATGTCTCTGTGATCAAAGCAAAAGTCTAACTTTCTTTTATAGTCCTCACTTCTATTCTGTTTTTGTGTCAGAAAGCCAAGATTTCCTCTTCAACTAAAATCAAGATGCTGGCAATTGATGCTTTAAGGAAGACCCTGGCCATTAGATATGAAAAGTGATTTATTTTTCAAAGGCTATTGAAATTAGATATTTCCACTAAGACCTACAGTGTGAGTACAAAGCAGATGACACACATTCAATGCTTTAGGAAGTTAAGAAATATTCTGCTACAAACCCACCTGAGGCTCCAAGTCCATAACACAGACCTTCCCGTCATTAAGGACTGCTTGAACAGCATCCACACTGGTGCCATACAGGTGGCCTTTGTACTCACCGTACTCCAGCATCCTGCAAGGGTGAGAGACAAAAGAATTCTTGCCTAGAATGCCAGAATCCTATATAAGCACTGATTTGAGTTCTGACTACTCAACTTCCAATCCAACTTCCTGATAAATATGCCTTTGGATGCAGAGGAAGATGGCCTGAGGACTTGGTCCTCTGCCATTCTTGTGAAAGACAGAAGATGGAGTTGGCTTTGACCTGACCAACCCTTGCTAATCATGTCCCTTGGGGAATGGATCAGCAGATGGAAGCTCTCTGTCTCTCTCTAACTGCCTTTCAAATAAAGAAATGAATCTTTCAAAAAAGAATTCTTCCTACATGTGAAACATGTAATATGATGATAAGTCCAAGAAATGTGTGGGCATTGCTAGCACAAAAAAAAAAAAGAACTAGCAGATATTCAGCAACATACAAAAGTTACTTCCTCTAAATCTCTAAAGTTTGTAGCTCTGTCCTGTTACCTTTTCACATGCACTGAGTTTGTATATTATTACATCAATGGACATTTCCTTGTTTACCTCTTCAGAAACAAAGGGGCATTGTCCTCAAGAGCTTTAGATAGTGCACAAACACAAGAGAGCTATTTCAAATGCAAAAATAGAGACTACACTGATGTATGAATTCTGCCTCACCTGTGACTATACATGAGGCTTTCAAAGGTTTCCTTTGACACATAATGGTACTCACGCCCATTTATTTCATAGCTCTTTTTGGAACGAGTGGTATCTGTCAAAAAAAGGAGATGAAATATTTCAGAGTCCTCAAATTACCAGTATGCATTGAATCAATATATCTCAATAAATAAATGCATAACCATAATAAAAAGTTTCAATTCAAAAGAAGAAACTTGAATTGGTAAGAAGATAGTTGAAGTTCTCATATCAAAATCAATTCATCTGTAAATCTTTCTTAATTGCTCATGCTATGGAAAAGGATGCTTTCAACTGTAAGCCAGGGTGAGGGGGACTGTTACTTTAAAACAGGCACCAAGGAACTACTTGTGAACCCTAAGATGCCTGAAGACTTCCAGGTAGCAATATTCACAATAGTTTGCTTGAATGGCACATTTCCCATGAGGTTATTTCCTCCTCCATGCTAAGTGTAACATTACTATCCACAGTTACCTGGTTAAGTAATTGCAGCTTTTGGAAAATAATTAACTTCCTCACATTCCCATCACCCCTCATTAGTTTTTTTAACGAAAACTAAAGTTGAAACTAGAATCCAGATGTTCCAATTTCTCCTAGCTTAATGTTTCTACATCTGCTTATCTCCAGTGTAGACTAGAGAAACACCTCGCTGTTCTGTCCCTGCCAGATGCACTAATACCCAGGAGGAGTGCAGTCTAATCTCATTAAGCGGTAAAACTAAGTAGTTTTGAATGAGTCTAGATTCAGTCTGATTCGTTGAATGTAGCCCTTTTGATTAGTAACTCTTCAACTTAAATACTACTTAGCATGAAATATAGGCATTCACCGAATACCTAAAAAAATTTTTCTTGTCTGCTCATTCATTTACTCAAGTAATGTGTACCAAATACTTGCTGTGTTGTAGATGTTGTGTTAGCTTTGGGCAATATTGAATTATGTTAACACAAACCAAAGTAGTCCCTTCTCCTTTGCTTCCATTGCCTTGATAATTTATATGGTGTTTTAAAGTACATGAGTTGCTGCATCACCCACGGCATACATTTTAAGCTAAATATGGTTTACTCAACTTCAAAAACAACATTTGGACAATATTTTTTCAGTTTGACTGGTGGTTCTCCAAACACTTTGTAATTTTTTGGTGACCTGTTAGTATTCTACTTTCATCCAGAGCATTGAAATAATGGATTCTTTTTAGTTTTTCTTCTTGAGATTTACACCCATTCTTGCATACACAGGTACTAACTTCAGAATATACAATCTGTGAGATGTGACCCTAAGACATTTTAGGTGTCTCACTGCTGCTGTGTGAAAAACTGGCAGCTCCTGAGAATTTTCTAATCACATTTAAGGCTCATTTAAAAAAAAAATGCACCATCATTCCTCTATAATTGCATTTTCATAATTCAACTCAATTTAGTAATTAAAATCCCATTTCCATATAATGATCAAGATTATGAACTTCATTTCTATCTTGGGTTTCTCCTGCACCCACTATCTTGGGTTTCAGATCTTCATCCTGGGAAGCCAGGAGTCAGAGAAACCAAAAATCAAGAAGAGTATAAGTCACTTCTCTTTTTTTTTCCTTTTGTGTCTGCTGCCTTTCTCCCTGATTGATAACTTCCAAGGCTAAAGTGCAGGAATGCTGACAGCAGGACAGGATTATTCTGAATTGGCAGGTATCAATGCTGGCCACTTGCCCTTACTTCCTTTAGACCTGTCCAATGTGTAAACTCATTGCTTGCTCCTATAAGTTGGCATACTGGATTATCTTGTAGATCCTACCAACATTACTTCTTCCACCACAGGGTCTCTTGAATTCAGTCTCCATCCCTGATTGGCATCTGCTATTCCTTTCACAGCTTGATGTTTCTGGGTGTCCACTTTTGACTTTCTTCAGAGGCATCATCTTGGGTAGAAACCAAGATAATCCCAGGCTGAATTTTCCCCCATGTGATCAACCCAGGTGTGGTACTTGAGAAATATTACATATCTTTTGCTGTAAGAGTTTCTTCAAGAGCAGCTACTTCCCAAATCACAGCCATTAGGCACTTCCTCTAACCTTGTATCTTACACAAAAAAGACCATTCCAACTCTTGCATCTTACAAGAGTTTACACCAAACATGACATAGTTCTGTAAGACCAGGATATTTGCAGAGACAAAGGAAGTTTTGCCAAAATATCAAAAAACTAAAACAAAACTGAACTCACGTGGCACTGCACTTTGAAAATGGCAGGGGTTAAATTCAATAAGTTGTCTCCTTAGTTCATTTACTCCAACGCCAGAAGGCCCTAAAAAAAAAAACCCACGTACAGAAATCAATCAATAAGAATAAATATAATTAATCATGTGGTGAAATAATCATTTTCAGTTGTTTTATTGACGAAACTTGAACGCAAACATTTTAGGAAAATTTGATATCTTCCTTTCTTACAGATTGAAACAATACCAGAAATCTCTTGGGAATTTTTCTGGTGACCCCATGGACTGGCCCACAGCACTTCAACATCCAGAAATGAGACAGGGAACTGCAGGAAGCTGTACCTTAACAAACTTTACAAAAATAATGGATGTTGTGTCACTGTGTTAGTCTGACTGCACATCATCTGACACATCCTTTCTCTTTCAAATGAAGCTTCTTTCAAATCACAACCAGAAATCAGTTCCAACAACCACAGGTTCCTGGACTTAAGAATTCAGGGGTACAGTTCTGAATGCTTAAACCATGACTCCTATGCACAAGCAGAGGCAGAGATATTGCCATGAATATATAACCTGCAGTTACACAAATTGAAAAGTCTGGAAGGTCACCACACTTGCATCAATGCTCTGCTATCGCTTCTTGAACTCCTCGACACTTCCATTTTATTTTGATTTTTGTATGGGTCCATGTAAATGATGTGGTCAAGTCCTGGTTCTGGAACATGTTACTCTACCTGTCCATGCCCTGCTCACAGCTGAATGCACAGAGAACGTGGCAATAAAGCAGAGGATGCTACTGATGCAGGGACCAACTTTGCAGCGATCTTGGCCACAAAATCAGGTCACCCCAGCACTCTACTTGACCTGTTCTTTAGCACCAAAAATTCACAAAATTCAATTCACAAGATTTTAGACACTTTTCTAGAGGAGGCAGGTATAAATTTCTTATGGAAGCAAATTTTAAGTCTTGATTTTCCTCATACAGACATGTGATCCAGCTTGGGAGTATGTCGGCTACACTTCTAGTGCAAATTCCACACAGGCAAAAAATGCTTCAGTTATAATATCCTTGTAATATAACCGTTTTCATTCAAGTTCATGTACACCATGGCCCACCATACTCGATTGCACACACACACACACGTACGTCTTCCTGCACCAAACAGTGCTTATGTAAGGGTCCATAGAGAGTTCTATCCTTATTACTACTCCCACAACAGGACAAACCCAGAAGGAGAATGCCGAGCACGATTGGAGGCGGTGCATGCTGGGACACACGTACCCACGAGCACTATGAGGCGGTGCTTATCTCCAGGTCGTCGCTGGTATCTCACCACCTCCTCATAAGGGGCACCCACGGCACTGTAGCAGCCACCAGTGCAGCACACAGTGGCACGCAGCTGGCTGAGGTGGGACTTCCTGCGACAAAGGCGCATGCTGCGACGGAAACCAGCTGGGCAGAGTGAAAGGCAGAGACATGAGCCCCAGGACTGGAGAGATGACTTCTCCCATTAAGTCTTTTGAAGCCTGCAGGGACTGGGACTCTAGAGGACTAATTAATGTGGAGTTGGTGTTCTGAAGGTAGAAGAGACAGACTGCTATGAAGTAAAAATGACCAATACTCCACTTGTTAACTCCAAGTTACCTCCAGAGTCGTGATCATCCTTGGGACTAGGGGGGTGTACTGTTCAACTAATCCAAGTCCATTTTCAGGGGAAATTTACATTGTATGGTGGAAGGAGAAACAAAAATTAACAACATGAGAGTTTACGAAAGGGGTGAGCAGATGGAGAGTGACAGGATATGATTTCAGTGAAGGTGTTTCTGAGAAGTTGGCATTGGGCAGAGGTATGTGGGAAGTAAAGGAGATAGTTAAGGAGGCATCTGGAAGAACAGCAACACAGGTTGAGAGAAGTGCCAATGTCAACATGCAGAGAAAAAGTGCATGCTTGAAGGAGCCAGAGTCTGCAGCAGGGCAACAAGAAGAGCAAGGATTGTGGGAAATAGACAGTACAGCTGGAGCCAGGTCATCCAGGGCCTGGGGAAGTGATGGAGTGTGGCCCAGGGTAAGGAGAGGGGCATTGGAAAACAGAAAAACACAGTGTGATACGGACTTTATTTCTACAGAATCTAGCTGAAACAGCATGGAAATGTGGCCAGGTGTAGCTATTTAATCTAATGATCAGGACTTTTTCACTGCATATCAGAGTCCCTGAGTTTGATTCCCAGCTCTGGCTCCTGACTCCAACTTCCTGCTAATGCTGACTTTGGGAGGCAGTTGTCATGGCTAGAGTGATTGTCTCCTGCAACCTAAGATGGGGAAACTTGGATTGAGTTCCTGGCTCCTGGTTCTACCCCAGACCAGTCTAGCTGTTGTCTCTTGTTCTCCCTCTCTCTCCTCAATTTTTTTTTAAGAAAGAAGAAATGGGGCCCGAGGGCATGGTCTAGCGGCTAAAGTTCTCGCCTTGAACGCCCCAGGATCCCATATGGGCGCTGGTTCTGATCCCAGCAGCTCCACTTCCCATCCAGCTTCCTGCTTGTGGCTTGGGAAAGCAGTCGAGGATGGCCCAATGCTTTGGGACCCTGCACCTGCGTGGGAGACCTGGAGGAAGTTCCTGGCTCCTGGCTTTGGATCGGCACAGCACCAGCCATTGCACTCACTTGGGGAGTGAATCATCGGACAAAAGATCTTCCTTTCTGTCTCTTCTCCTCTCTGTATATCTGACTTTGCAATAAAACTAAATAAATCTTAAAAAAAAAAAGAAGAAGAAGAAGAAATGTGACTGTAAGTGATGAATCATCAAAATTTCAGAATCATCGAAATCTATGTCTTTAGAGCAAGTTGTAAAACAAACTGGAGGAAACCAAAAATATTTGCTTTTAGCACATAATTAAGAGATACCAGGGAGAAACGAGATGAACAATGAGGACTAATCAATAAATCAGAATATTAACCCAAATATCAGACAGAAAAACCAGAACATGGAACAAAATTGAAAATGTTCAAGAGCGGAATTAGCTTCAGAAATGTGAGAAGAGCATCGGGCCAGTATGAAATAACTTAACAAGTGATAAAAGATCCACCTCTTATTAATCATCACCTACCGATAAAGAACTTCTGACCATAGCCAATAAACTCCTCCTTCTCTGGAACACAGGTAATGACAAGAAAAGAGTAAACGGGTGTGAAACATTTGCTTCATCTTCAAATGTCCCACTGTCATTTTTACAGTCGAGTACAGCACAGTTGAATGTATCCTCCAGTAGCTTACTATGGGATTTGCCAGCACCTTCCATCCTATCAGTTATATGCCACACACTCTAGAATTTTAGCTCTACACTAAAAACATATTTTTTCCAATATGGCGAGGAACAAAGAGCCAGTCAAAGCCTGACTAAAAATGTAAGAAAGAAGATATCAACATACAGGAAAAGCATAACAACTAAGTGTACATTTTGAGATGTATCTTAAGAAAAAGCATTTTTTTTAAAACAAAAGGGGCTAGCACAATGGCTCAACTGGCTAATCCTGTACTTGCAAGTGCCAGCATTCCACACAGACGCTGGTTCATGTCCCGGCTGCTCGACTTCCAATCCAGCTTCATGCTTATGTCTGGGAAACCAGTGGAGGATGGACCAAAGCCTTGGGACTCTGGCCCCACATAGGAAACACAGAAGAAACTCCTGGCTCCTGGCTTTTCATGGGCTCAGCCATTGCAGCCATTTGAGGAGTGGACCAGTGGATGGAAAGTCTTTCTCTGTCTTTTCTCTTTGAAAATCTCTTTCCAACAAAAATAAATAAATCTGAAAAAAGAATCAGATACACTGTCTATGGCTTTTACCTTACAGATACTCTGGACGTATAATTTCTATAATTAATCTCTTGGATGAATAATGGATTTTTATTTTCTCCCTTATAAAATCATCCATTTTAGATAAAGTTAGTGTTGGTTGAATTTTCAAATAAATAAATTTTTCTTTAAAAGGAATGTTAAGTTTAAAAGAAAATATCTACTCATGGGCTCATAAAAGGGAATTAACACTCCCTCCTTGTTCATTTTTAAATGTATTATATGAAATTAAATACTTCATTATTTATTTCACCCTTAAAATATTCTATTCACCTTAGAAATTATTCTGTCAAGTATTCACTCTAAGACAGTAAATGATCTCAAACATAGCATACTCAGTCAATAACAATTACCTTCTGAAAGCTCCTCTGGATATTGGGTTAAAGGCAGAAACAAACATGGAAAACATCAAATAACAGCAAATAATGAAACAAAAGCATTCATGTCATCATTAACAAATGTTGTAACTCACATAAGGCCAGGCCAGGCAAATGAGCAATGCAGAATTGGGGATTCAGAAATTCACTTAGTCTGATTCGGCTGCGGGGGGACAGAAACATTTTTCTCCACAAGCTGCCTCTCAAGCTGTTCCCTGAGGGTGGGCATTTGACCTGCTGGCTAAGACTCCAGGCAGAAGGCCTGCACCCTCTTGTCCCAGGGCCTGGGTCTGATACCTGCTCCAGCTCTGGATTCCAGCTCCCAACTGATGTGATGGCTTAGGTAAGAGAGTTAACCACCACCCTACCCAGGAAGCTTGGGCTGAGTTCCCATAGCCTTTGCAGGTGGACAATCTCTACATAGGTCTAGCTTTATCTTGGTTTCTCCATGTCTCTCCAAACAATAATTTAAAACAAAACAAAAAAAGACTCTCCTTGTAGCCTTCTTAACTATGAAGATTCTACAGGATGAGACTTGAGTGAGTTGCTTCTTGATTGTGCTCCTACTTGAGCTGGGTTTAGAATGTTCGAGAAAGTTCTCACCATTTCAACTGCCTCCTAATAGATAAAGGCAGTTACGTTCTTTCCAATTGTACTGCTATTCTTTGGAAGCCAACTGCTGACTGTCCATTAAGAACAGATTAATTAGGCCCGGTGGCGTGGCCTAGTGGCTAAAGTCCTTGCCTTGAACGCCCCAGGATCCCATATGGGTGCCAGTTCTAATCCCAGCAGTTTCACTTCCCATCCAGCTCCCTGCTTGTGGCCTGAAAAGCAGTCGAGGACGGCCCAATACTTTGGGACCCTGCACCCGTGTGGGAGACTCGGAAGAGGCTCCTGGTTCCTGGCTTCAGATAGGCGCAGTACCGTCCGTTGCGCCTCACTTGGGGAGTGGATCATCGGATGGAAGATCTTCCTCACTGTCTCTCCTCCTCTCTGTATATCTGACTTTGTAATAAAATAAATCTTTTAAAAAATAGCAGATTAATTATAATTTAATCAGTATAGTGCTGTAACCTTTACATAAAAATTAAAAAGGAAATAATTTAGGCATTAGAAGTATTTTACATTGGGCTGTTACAGTGTGTAACATGTTAATCCTTTGCCTATGGCACCAGCATGCCAAAGAGGTGCCAGTTTGGGTCCAACCCGGCTCCCTACTAATGGCCTGGGAAAGCAATGAAGGATAACCCAAGGCTTTGGACCCATGCACCCAACTGGAAGCCTCAGAAGACGTTCCAGGCTCCTGGCTTCAGACCAGCCCACCCCCAGATGTTGAAGTTATTTGTGGAGTGAACCAGCAGATGGAAGATCTCTCGCTCTCTATCTGTAATTCTTTTAAGCAAAATAAAGAAATCTTCAAAATAGTATTTTACATTGTAATATATATTATCAAACGTGATTTCTATAGAAAACATAAAAAGCTACTAGATGCTTAGACTTCGTAAAATGAAAGAGCATGGACTTAAACGGAGATGATTAGAAAACATTTCTTTATATGAAGTACAAAAAATGGATGTGGTAAGGAATGAAGGGTGGTTTGGTAAACCCAGATGAGATTTTATTTATATATGATGAGAGAAAGGAAATTGCCTTACTGAAGCAAGGATAATAAGCTCACGCAATTAGAGACCAGAGAGTGAATTACACGAACAAGCAGCATGCTTGGAATCATGGGAGTAACATTATCACGTCCCAACTGCTGTCAGCTTAAAAATAAAAAATTTGTGGGGCCTATTTTTGCACTAATTGTGTAAAGATTACTTTGAGGGATAGATAATTGATGTTTACCATCTGCCATATAACAAATAATATATTAAAGAAAAAGGAAATTGGTTCAGTAGAGACTCCACACTTTACAGTCTACCTAGTGTCCATGAGGAGAAGATGGAATATGTACAACAAAGGCTTCCATAATTGCCAAGCAAAGCCCGTATTCTGTCTGAATACCTCCTCCATAATGATTGGCTTTCATGTTACATCTTGAGAAAACTGCTAAATGACCTTTATATTTCTAATGAGTTTGGTCCAGGAGGACACTTGGCAGGCATGCAGGGCTGGGGACAGCCGTTCACTGTGCAGGGCACCTGGCTATCCTCATTCCCACCAGGCAAGGTCTACAGTGCCTTCCTTCAATACAACTAAAAAAAAAGATGCACTGCTCCCCATCCCCGAGTTCTGGGAACAAGTACTGACCCTACAAGAAACATTCATCAATGAAAAATGTACAGTGTCTCACTTCAACACTGCTGATTCTTTTCAATAAATTTTATATTTGAGGTTGATAGCATAACATTATAGGACTCTTACAGATAGTAACTACTGTGGTGAAAGACTAGCAGATCGATCATTTCATGTAGTTAGCATTTAATTCTTTTACTGTTACTGTATTTAAACAAATGTTATAGCAAAACCCTGAATATGTTTAAATTATACCAAGATTTGGAATATGCATTTTAAAAACCAAAGCCAGATGACGCCTTTTTTTTTTTTTTTACTTACCAGATTCAAATGTTTCTTCATCTAGAGGTTTCCATGGAGGCAAAAACCAAAGCCATTGCATTACTGTCAACACTGAGTCCATATTAAAACGTTCTAATATCCTGGCATACACTTCTGCTCAGGCACCATCTGTAAACTTGTATTCCTAACTCAAGGCCCACATCAGTGGTGTCTCAGTGGCATATATAGCCTTGAATGAGGTCCATGGTGTCTAGCAGCTGGAGTATGGCAGGAGCATAACATAAAATAAAACAATGAAATGAGAAAGATGATAAATAAATGGCAATTCCAAAGAGGGTCAGTGGGAGGGATCAAGTAGGATGTCAGAGACTCCTTTATGCTGTCAGATATAGCACAGCCTGGCTGCTGGAGGGCTTGTGATGGCAAGGGAGGGAGGGATGTCTGTCTACAGAGTTGGTGACCCCCAAACAAGGGATGGGGTGGCAAAAAGAGTTAGTCTGAGGATGGCTTCACTGAGTATATTTGTTCAGGTAACTGAGAAATATAGGAGGTAGACCAGCTTCCTCATTTGTGAAGACCATTCTCGTCAGTGTCTTTAGAAGATTCGAAAGATTAAGAAATGAGAATTCTATGAAGGACAATTCACAATCAGTATAATCAGTATAATCAGTATAATCAGTATTATCATCACACATACCCTTGAATCAGGCAATTCTGCATCTTAAGCATGTCAAACATGTGTGAGCTAGAAGACTTACAAAGCGACTCCTTGAAGCACTGTTTATAACAGCTAATGCAAATGTCTGCAAATACTAGCAAGAGATTATACAAGTGTACACCAACTTACTTCACCAAAAATCTGTTCTGAAAGAAGAAGAGAGGCTGGGGAAAGGAAGGCAGGAGGAAGAGGAGGGAGAGGAAGGAAAGCAGCAGTAGCAGAGGAAGCTCTTTATGTATTGAAATAGAACTATCTGCAAGAGCTGTAACATGAAGTTGAGAAGCCAAGCTGAGATAGTGTGCATGTGTGCCATACTGTCAAAGGATGTGTGTACGGCCAAGGGGTAGGAGAGGAGAGAAATGCTTATCGTTGCTTTCATGGGCACAGAATATATCAGGAGGCAGAGGTGATAAACTGACAGTGTTCCTGCTAGAGCAGGAACACTGAGCAGAGGAACTTCATACTGATTACACTTTCACAGCTCCTGAATGTTCAACTATGTTACTGTGCTAATAAGATTATCTAATTAAAATTGTAGAAAGTGAACATTACTAACATTAAATAAAAAAAAAAGAATGTGTACGGGTCCGGCACTGTGACCTAGTGGCTAAAGTTCTTGCCTTGCACACACCAGGATCCCATATGGGCACCATTTCTAATCCTGAGTGCTCCACTTTCCATCCAGCTCCCTGCTTGTGGCCTGGGAAAGCAGTTGAGGACGGCCCAAAGCCTTGGGACCCTGCATCCGTATGAGAGACCCTGAAGAAGCTCCAGGCTCCTGGCTTCGGACTGGCTCAGCTCCAGCTGTTGCAGCTGCTTAGGGAGTGAACCAGTGAATGGAAGATCTTTCTCTCTGTATCTCCTCTTTATATCTGCCTTTCCAATAAAAATAAATAAATATTTTTAAAAGAATGTTTATTCAGTGAAATAAACAGTATCACCATTAATCCTCAGCTGTTCTTTGAGATATATGTGAATCTTTGAAATATCCACTATTTAAACATAACACACTACTAGCCTTTCATTTCTGCACTAGATTAGTCTATAAAGGCAAGATAAATTTAATTGTCAAAGTCTTCCCAACTATTCATCTCACAAAAATGAGTGACTCTTAAGCTAATCTCAGTGTTGCCACCAAATTTGAATCATATTTTCCCAATTTGCCAGGAAAAAAGTACAGAAATGTTAAAGCCTTTTTTTTTTTTACATATTTCTCACACTTTGGTAACCCACTATTGTCTGTCTATACTAGAATCTGGCAAAAGATGGTATCCGACTTTAACAAAACATAGACTCTGCGTTTGTAAAGTCTGCTCTCCCAGAATGCTGTATAGCAGCCCACCAAGAGCACAGGAATTTCCATGGGCTGTACCATCTGATATGACAAGTGCCACTCAGCATCCCTGAGATCATTTCCAAGATGCTGTTCTCTACAACACTTCCAGCAGGTTGGTGGGAGCGTGGAGACATCCCTTCCAAATGAGGCACCTCCCAAGGAGGGAAAGGGCTGAGACGTGTTCAGTATAGGAGAGGCCAGTCCTTTCTGGCCACTCTGCTCAGCATAATCTGTAGTTAAGGGCTTCATATTTGCTCTCAGTATAAAGCGACCAAGGACAAGTGTTACCTGCTTCCACACACTTCTCGTCAATCTTCATGTCATCATCTGTAAAACAGAGAAAGGAGAAACTGAAACACATATGAACTTGTTAGCATTAAAACCCAAATTCCATGTGTATAAACCAATAAAACTCAGACTACCTTCCAATAAAGCTTCGCTTACAACCACTGCTCACTCGGAGGGACAAAAGGCTGCTTCTTCATAAAATATATTGTATGGAGGACACAGAGCATCAAATGTTTAAAGATCTTAAAGTGTGGACTTTTGAAGGCTGGACAAATGTGTTTATCTCTAAACTTGTTCTCCAACAGGGACTGGGTCAATAATAACATACACGGTCAGCACAGTAGGGTGATACATTTCAGCAGTGTATTTTACACGTCTCACAAAAGGCTGAGAGACAAAAATGTGAAGATTCTCAACACAAAGAACTTAAATGCTTAAGTGTTGAGAATGTGATGTCAGTATCCCAAATGGCCACCAGTTCAAAGCCTGGCTGGTCCGCTTCTGATCCAGCTCCCTGCTAACATTCTGGGAAAGCCTTGAAGAATGACCCAGGTGCTTGGTCCTTTGCACTCGCAGGACAGACCCTGAAGTTCCTGGCTGCTAACTTTAATCTGGCACAATCCCCAGAGGCTGTGCCAGGCTCTCCTCGCAATCCCAACAGAGCAACCTGGGATGTGATGCCAGGTACACAAACCCAGGAGCAGGTGCCCTGGAGGCGAGCCTTCCCTAACTTCTTCCACTCACTTCTGCCTTCCTCTGTTTGCATCACATACCTCTTTTGTCCTTGGGGGACAGAGGTTAGAGCCCCACAATTACAACTCAAGTCTTTGGCAGTCCTTGGAGTCCCTTTCCAAGTCAAGAATGTAACGTGGGTGGTGGCTAAGGGGATTCCTTTCCTCCATGTCTCCCCTCTCTGCAGGGAGGCAGCATCTTGTTTTCTCGTGTGTGTATGTGTGTGACATCACCGGGAGTCTTCCAGATGGTTGGACCACAGAGAAGGGGAAAGGAGAGTAACTGAAAGTCCCATTCAACCCATAATGTAGGACTCTTCAGACACATAAAGGCTTGAATCCACTGTTGGCAGCTTTAGATAACTGTGCTTATTGACTCTGAGCCTCAATCTTCCACCCATAAAATGGGATCAACAATAACAGTTTCCTTACAGTGCTATTTTCATAGAAAATATATAAAAGAGTTGAAACAAAATAGTTTATCCATTTCACAGTTTTTAACAAGTTCTTCCCAAGTGCTATGTTAGATACTGAAGCTGTTTATAAATGTTACTTCTGTTTATTCCTTTGTATGTTAGAACAATTACATTGTACATTTTTCACTGATCATTTTATAGATTAGTGACTGCCACTCTATCACGTATGTCAGAAGAGCTTAATAACGGAATTAAATTGAATTTTAAAAAAGAACCACTACTAGATTTTGGAGAGATGTGGTTTTTCTGCTCTCAAAATACTAGTTCTTACCTTCCTCCATAGAAATCACTGGGAGCAGACAAATAATGGAAAAGAGAGAGAGAGAGAGAGAGAGAGAGAGAGAGAGAGAGAGGTGTCAATGCTCAAGTTTCCCAGATCAATTCACAGTAAGAGAAGCAAAGAGCCAACATTTCTGTAATTAATATTCTAGGCTAGTTCTTTAGAAGTTCAACGGAGATTTAGTAGCAAAATGGTCAATGAAGGCATTTGTGAGCCTTGCTGGAAAGGGGGATGCTTTTGGAGAATTCCTTCCCTTTCCATCCCAATAGTCTATCAGCATCACACCCCACTTCCCTCTGATTTAATGAACTTAGTTTGGCTTACTTTAGAAACCCAAATACTGAGTCAAAGAAGGAAGAATGAATGAATAAGAGAGAAGAAAGGAGGAAGGGGAGACAGAGGGAGAAAAGGCTAGTGTGTGGCTCCCCAGTCTTGCATGTCAGCTGTTGGATAATGCATATATGAGCTGCAGAGATCCTAGAGGGCTTCACTCTACAGAGGGACAACTTGAGGTATTGCCAACACAAGATTATTTGTGTTTTCATCAACAGAAAAATCTTTCAAACCCTAAGCATTGACTATCTATAGAGGCGTTTCTGATGGTTGGCTGCCAGGGAGAATATTTGCAGGCACACTCACATATGGTTGACTTGGAACAGGTGTGAGGCTGGTACGGCTGAGACCACCAGAATTCCCGCTGCTTCCTAGGCAGAAACAGAGACAGCAAGTTCTGGGGTGTCCATTCCTTCATCGTGGCTGATCAAGCAACCACAGCACACCACTGCGCACAGCCCCATTCCATGGCCCTAGACATGGGTGGGAATGAGGGTTATCCTCACTCCCCTCTGCCATTTCCAGATCTTTAAGCATTGCCCACTTTAAGTAACATCCCCCAGCCAGTCCTGCTCACTCTCATACTTACTGTGCTATTCTGTCATTATCCTCAATGATTCTATTAAGCACATGAATATTCTTCCTAAACACTGTTTTCTCAGGTTTTTAGTTTTCTCTTTTCCAGTGACCTTCCCATCCTTCTACTATCATTTATACCTTAGACCTTAACAGGACCAATAACCTCAATATCACCACAATTTCAATTTCCAGCAATCTTTTTTCCTACTATTACTTCCCATTCTCCCAACCCCAACAATCAGCTGACGCCACAGGAATCTACAATCCAGTGATTTTGCTTCCTTTTTCTAATTCTCATTGGCTTCATTCCCTTAGCTCTCTCAACAGCTTAAATGCCATAGTGCTTCATTATAAGCACTTTCTGACCCTTTCCTGATTTCAGGAAGTTGACCAGAAGTACTTCAAATTTATGACCTTTAACCTATGTGAGCCCTGAATGCAGATCCTACCAAACCAACCTAACCCATTTGCACTTGGGGAAACTTTTCAATCTTTCTCCAACTCCTTCTTGACCATCTCTTTACCCTCCCACTCTCACTCATGACACTTTCCCCACTAACAAAATGAGAGAAACTGGAGGTAAACTTCCACAAACTGGCATCCTGTGCTCCGCCACTATGTGCCCAACATATGCAGCCTTCTCCTGTTCCTGTGAATGAATGGATTATGATCTATCAAGCTAAGCCCTCTTTTCTGTATGATCAAAGCCATTGATAACAGTAGCCCTCTTCTCTTCCATGTGCTAAATGCTTTCCTTCTCACTGAATGTTCACTTTTCCTGGACGACCACTCCAACTAGTATCACTTATCCTGTCCAAATACTCTTCTCAGATCACTGTGCTTCCCCAAGCCATTTCTCCATTACTCTGTTCTGCTTTATGCCAAAAATACCTCAAAGGGTTTTCCATTATTGATGTCATAAATTTCTTGAAATAAAATTCTAGTTAGGACTTGGGCACCATTCCTCCCCTGATTATGCTTTTGTCAAGATCATCCAGGATCTTCACATTGGTAAATCTAACAGTCAGCTCTCAGTGTTTGGTAGAGTGACCAGGAGCCCAGGTGGTCTTGGTTGGCATCCTGCCTCACTCTTTCACAGTCTCTTTTACTAGGTGCTTGTCCTCTTCCTGATCCCTGAACACAGCTGTGCCTTGGACAACTTTCACCTTCTCCCTTCACTCACTTCTTTGATGATCTCATCAAATCTCAGAGGTGGCGAGTTGGAATTCAATAACTGACCTCAACTTGGCTTTAAAAGATTAATGACTTTTTGCCATAATCTATTTGGGTTTCTATCACATATACTGAACAGCTGATAAACAATTGAAATGTGTGACTCTTGAGGTTGAGAAGTTAAGATCAAAGCCCTGGGGCCTGACATAATGGTTCATTTAGTTAACCCACCCCTTGCAGATGCTGGGATCCGCATAGGACTGGTTTGTGTCCCAGCTACTCCACTTCCTATCCAGTTCCCTGTTTGTGACCTGGGAATGCAGTAGAAGATGGCCCTGGGTCTTAGGACCCTGTATCTAGGTGAGAAATCCGAAGCTCCTGGCTCCTGGCTTTGGCTTTCTCAGCTCTGGCCATTGTAGCCACTTGGAGAGTGAACCAGCAAATGAAAGATCTTCCTCTCTGTCTCTCCTCCCCTTTGTAAATCTGCTTTTCCAATAAAAATAAATAACAAATCTTTTTTAAAAAACCAAGGCCCTGACTCTGAGAAAGGCGCTGGCCTCGCTCTTGAGGTGATTGCCTTCATGATCTAATCACATCCCAAGGCCCTAGGAGCAACTATTATTATTTTGGGCATTAGGCTTCAACATATGAACGGGAGAGGAGAAGCAAAACACTCAGACATAAGCACTTCTTATGCTCAATTTTAATTTTCTCCTTGAGTACTCTTCTTCTAACTAATAAGATTAGTCCCCCGGGTATGTGTGAAGCTCAGATGATACAGTAAAGTTATTTGGGTTTGTAACCAGTGTGTATGTGTGTGCGCGTGTGTGTGTACCATTCTTCTGTTTGTCTCTCTCTCTCATCCTGAGCAGAACACCTTATTTCCTGAGGGTTCAGCCCTGAGTCCAGGAACGCTGGTTTTTCTTACCTCTTCAGAAGTTGATAAGAAGGAATCAACCCAGCACAGGTGGCAAGGTCTGTGATTTTCCGGGCCTGCCACCAGAGGGCATCATTCTGGTCCACAATCTGCAGGATGTCTCCTTTCTGGAAAGGCAATCCTGCATCCATGCAGGGGATGGCAGGATCTTCCTGGGGCCAGTAATCCGTCATGGCACGAACATACACCTGTGGCAGGTACATAAAGGGATCATCAGAAAAGTCCTTCCCTGTAGGCCCTCACAACTTTTAAAAAAAAATCAGTTCCCCACTTCACCTACAACTCCTGTTTTCTTCTCCATTCTCACCAAAAAGGAGAACCTGGAGAACATGCTTCTTGATCTTATTTTAAGGAGCATGATCTTATTTTAAGGCAGCATTTGATGCTGCCTTCTTGGAACTTCCATCTCCTTTTGTGCATATTTACTCATTTGGCCTCTCATATCACTGATATTGAAAAATATCCGACATGATATTGAACATACATCCCGGGTGGTGTGAGCAAGAGTCGTGTTCCAAGCCACATTTAGCTTTGTGACTGCTCTCTGGGGGCTCACTGTGCATGAGGCTGCAGGCTCAGTAGGTTCTTACCATCTTCTTGCTGTACACTGGAGGATCAGAAACAGGAACCACCTTGAACATGATTGTCCCACGAGACATGGCCTGGAAAATGACAAAGGGGGAAGAATGGCCAATCCTAGAGTGAGCAAGGCTACTGGGGTTTGGTGGATGGAGTTACAGTGAAGTGTGTCTAGGTCTGATGATCATGTCTCTCTCAGAGAAGTCCACAAGGGTTCGTTAAGGGTGACCACTTTGCTGCAGGGTTGCAAGATCACCAGTCTGCTGGAACCCACCCTGGAGGTGGCATCTCCTAGGGCCCCTCCACCTTACTGCCCTCCGGGTGGAGACTTCTTCCCACAAGTCTCCATCTTTACCTTCTGACCACTCACTCAGTGAACGCATCCTGTGCATCGCTTGCTGGGCCAAAATGAGTGATGGTGAAAATGGAGAACTAATTGACTTCCAAACTAAGGGTAAAACTGGGGACTCTCTCAAATGAGGCAGAGAAGCTCCTCCCCTGCTGGAGGAGGCAAGCTGGCAGTATCCTGAGGCTTCAGGTGCAGCTTAAAAAAGAATGTTGCCCAGCTGGGACCAGTGAGATGTCAGTGGACGGCAGGACAAGTCTGGGGCCCAGAGGGCAGCAGCTGCTGACCCCTATCAAAACACCCGCATGCACCAGATCCCCCCAGATTACGTGCTCACACCATGCATGGTGGGCTCAAGGGAATCAATTCAGTCAGGGCCATTTGCTCACTCGGAACCAAAGAGATGACTATTACCAGAATATGGATCACTTGCTCAGGGTCCAAACCCTCAACTGAAACTCCATTCACTTCCACCAGTTTGTCTCCAGCATAGAGCAGTCCTAGGTGAACAAGAATACGAAACAAAGATGGCTGCAAAGAAATCAGAAAAAATAGAGATAGGCATCCCAATAAATATTCAACAAATTCACTCACCCAAGCGTCCTCTAAGTTTGTTATATTTGTTTTAAACAAAACAATAAATCCTAACTTCCACCACTCATGACCAGGACTTGTTAACTGATGGTGATATTTTTATTTTTATTAATCTGATGTTATAAAATAGAACCAGATACCCATGAAAAGATAGCACTAAGCATAAAAATGTCAGGGTTATGAGTAAATTATAAATGAAAAGGAAAAGCTGAGGTATTCTTCAAAAGAGAAATGTGAAAAAAAAAATGTGGCTTAAGATTAGGTCTTAAAGGGCCAGTGTTGTGGTGTAGTGGGTTAAGTTGCTGCATGCAACGTAATCATCCCATATGAGTGACTATTTGAGTCCCTGCTGCTCTCCACTTTCCATCCAGCTCCCTGCTAACAGTCTGTGAAAAGCAATGGGATATGGTCTAAGTTCTTGGGTCCCTGCCACGCCATGGGAAATCCAGATGAAGCTCCTGGTTCTTGACTTTGGCCTGGCCCAGTCTAGTCTGTTGCAGTCACCTGGGACATGAATCGCCAATGAAGACATCTGTATGTGTGTTTTCCCTCTATATAATGATAAGTTTCAGAAGACAAATACAGTTTTTTAAAAATGAAGCACTGAGTAAGAAAGTGTTGCGAGGAGGGGCTGGCAGGAGTGCAGGTGACAGGGATGGCACACAGCTACACGGAAGAAGTCAGTTGTAACATCCTTTGACGAAGCAATATGATGACAGGGCATAGTCACCTGCTCCACATGTCAGAGAGAGCCATGAGTAAGGAGTTCATAGATGTTCAACTCAAAGAAATGACAAATGTTTAAGAAGCTGGGAGTGCCAATTGTATTAATTGGATCATTTGACATAAGGAATACACGCATTGAGTTATCACCCTGTATCCTTAAATATGTACAATTATTATGTGCCAGTTGTACAAAGAATGAGGCTTGAGAAATATACAATGGAACAGTGGGGTCATCAAAAATAGTAGACAAGAAGAAGGATTAAAAAAAAACCAGAAACAAAGGATGATGAAAATTTCAAGAACGGTATCAACACATTTATTGGGCAAGAAGTAAAACTGAGCAGAAAAGAAGGCCCATGGGGTTTGGAAACTTGGAAATCCCTTTTATTCACTAAAAGGAGGATGGATATAGACCATGTGCCAAGCTCAGGGTTCTGGAAAGTGAGGATGTGTGTTAGCAGGTGTAGGGTCACTCATTCCAGAAATACAGAAGTCAAAGGACCAGCATCGGGTTAGTGGATAGAAAAGGCAAGCAAAGGGCATTTCCAGGTGGGGATGTGCCTGCTGTGCCTTCCTGAGGGCAGGAGAATTTAGTGGGCAGAGCACATTGGGAAACTAGGGTCAGCTAGGCCTGGACTTCATATTTAAATGGTTTAGCCCAGTGCGGGTTTATCAGTCTGTGAGCCACAGCTGCCTGGCATGAAAGTAGCTACCTTGTTAGGTTTCCAAGAAAACACAAACTGAGAGAACATTAGCACATGGTCTACCACAACAGGAATTCAGTGAAGGAGATTTATTTGCAAATTTGCTCATTCTTCACAGCTTGAACTAAGCAGTGGGACTTCTTACAGCTTATACCCCTGGGAAACAGGGGTGTCTCTGGAAAGAAGACCAAGCAATCAAGGATCTTGCTTTGCCTGATAACACCTTACTGCTCCAGCTTACCGCTCCTCTCGACCAGCCCACCGTGGATGACTCTGGCCACCAAGATGTCCCCTGTTATCTCATGGCGCTTGATGGTGGCACCCTGGAGAGAGAAAATACAGTGGGGTCTCCTCTTCTACTGAGCCTGACAATTTCCTGGTGGCTTTCCTTGGTCGATACAGCTCAGGCCTTTCAGGCAAGAACATTTGCAGCAACCAGGGAGAAAGGTGTCGCTTCGCATCCTGCAGACTGTCAGTCACACCAGGCCATCAAAAAGGTAAGGCCAGACAACCTTGGCCTTCAGTGTCTCTCTCCAACGACACACGCATAAAAGATCCTCCCAGGAGCAAAGAATGTTCCCACACCTATCCTCTTAGCCTTAGGAAATAAAATGAATATCTTACTAGCCTCTCACCAACCAAGGAGAGAAACTTGGGCAAATATGTTAGAATTGAGTGAAATATATGCATAGTGAGAAGGTCAAGTAACAAAAGAAAATATACAACTTTTTTTTTTTACAAAAATATATCTTGTAAATCTTGTCTTTCCAATTAAGAAAGGAATCAAGAGAAAGCCTTTCCTTAGTGAAAACATTGCAACACACAACATAGTTGAAAGCTAATCTCCTGGGGCTGGCATTGCGGTGGTCAGCTAAGCTGAGCATGCAATGCCAGTACCCCATTTAGAAGCTGTTCCTCTTCCGATCCATCTCCCTGCTACTGTACCTGGGAAGGGGGATGAAGACGGGTCAAAGCTTTTGCCTGTGTTTGAGTTGTGGGCTCCTGGCTTCTGTCAGCCATTGTGGGCATTCAGGAAGTGAACCAGCAAGTGGAAAATACCTTTCTCTCCCTTTCCTTCTTTCTCTCTGTCACTTCTCTCCTTCAAATAAATCAGTGAAATCTTTAAAAAAGAAAAATCTGCATCAGGGCTAGTACAGAGGCACATCAGGCTAATCCTCTGCCTGTAAGTGCCAGCTTCCCACTCGTGTCTTAGCTGCTCCACTTCTGCCCCATCTCTCTGCTTATGGCCTGGGAAACCAGCAGAAACTAGCCTGCACCCACATGGGAGACCTGCAAGAAGCTCCTTGCTCCCAGCTTTGGATCAGCTCACCCCTGGCCATTCCAGCCACTCGAGGGCATGAACCAGCGGATGAAAGTCCTTTCTCTAGCTCTCCTCTCTCTATAAAATCTGCCTTCCAAAAAAAAATAAAGTAAATCCTTAAAATTATGTCATTTCCAGTCATTATCATACTCAAATGTGAATATATCATTCCCATAAAAGGAAATTGCCCAAATAATAGCTTCTAGATATAACTAAGGTCACGATTACTAATGTAATTCTAAATGAAAAAAATAATCAATTGATTTCCTTACCAGAGGCTGCTGGTTTTTTACCAGACAAACGATCCTCATTGCCTCCTCACTCTCAGGGATGTTGTCCGGTAGTGGGGGAAGAAGGGGCTCAAAATCTTTCTGAGCCACTGTGTCGTGGGCACTGAGCAAGGCCTGGGAACAACAAGGGAACGGGGAAGAAAGCCTAGACATAGGACCCACCTATGCAGAAGAGAGAAATTCAACACAGCAACACAATCAACGTGGGCATCCTGGGCACACTTCTGAACATGTATGTGGATTAATTCATGCCTTACAAGGATGCTTTAAGGCAGGGACGTTGACTGTTCCCAGGTTTCCAAAAAGTAAACAAGGCACAGAAAAGGAGCATAAAACATATTTTCTCATTTCTACTAATGAGCTTCATTCCATTTCTTTATCATTTTCTGGACACTCAGGTCATCCATGGTGCTTCCTATGGACACTCAACTATGGAACCATGTAAGATTTTCCCAGGGTCAGTGCTGAGATATAGCTGGTTAAGCCATGCAGGCATCCCATATCAGAGCTGGTTCAGGTCCTCTGCTCTGCTTCCATTCCAGCTTCTTAATAATGTGCCTGGGAAAGCAGCAGAAGGTGGTGCAAGTGCTTGGGCCCCTGCACTCACAGAAGACATAGAGAAGCTCCAAGCTCCTGCCAAAGCCTGGCAATGTTCAAGCCACAGCTATTGTGGCCATTTGGGGAATGAATCTACAGATAGAAGATCTCTCCCTCTTTCATTGTAACTCTAATTCTAAATAAATACATACATATTTTAAAAATTAATAAGTGCCCAGTGCAGCAGCCTAGTGGCTAAATTCCTTGCCTTGCACACCCAGAATCCCATATGGGTGCCAGTTCATATCCCGGATGCTCCATTTCCTTTTCAGCCCCCTGCCTTTGGCCTGGGAAAGCAATAGAGGACGGCCCAAAACCTTGGGACCCTGTACCTGCGTGGGAGATCTGGAAGAAGCTCCTGCCTTCTGGCTTCAGATCAATTCAGCTCTGCCATTGTTGCTACCTGGGGACTGAACCAGTGTATGGAATATCTTTCTCTCTGTCTCTCTTTCACTCTGTAAATCTGACTTTCCAATAAAAATAATTAAAAATGAATAAAAGTTTTTGCTTGTGACAGAATGAGGAGTAGCCTCATCTCAGGTTTAATTTGTCAGCGATGTCCAAGGGTCCAGGAGGAACAGAATGAGAAAGCTCATTGTGTTTGCTGTTTGACACAGTGCCTTCTCAGTGTTCACTGAGGAACACTTTAATTACAGGTGACAACGGCTCTCCTTCCACAGCCCTAACATGGCTGCAGGACAGAATTCAGCAGCAACTAAAATGATCTAAGTTGTATGTGCTGTTGAAGACATTGGATAGCTCAAGGTTACCTTGTAAATTACACATTTTGACTCATAAATTCCATTGCTCTGAAGGTCAATATTTTCCTAAACGTCTTGGTTAATGCGATCTCAAAGTCTGCAAGTTTTCATTCTATAACCAAACATTCTCCACACACCCTCACATAAAGGTAGTAATATTATATCTTCCAAACACCTTCACATATTTTATGTAAAACTTAAAATGCTGCCAAGCTTAGGGTTCAGCATTGTGGTACAAGTTAAGCCACTGCCTGAAATGTTGGTACTCACATCAGAGCAACAGATTGAGCCCTAGCTGCCCTGCTTCCGATCCAACTCCCTGCTAATATCCGTGGGAAAGCAGGGGGACATGGCCCAAAAGCTGGGGTCCCCGCCATCAGGAAGGAACTCCCAACTCCTGACTTCTGCTCTGGCTGTTGTGGTCATTTGAAGAGTGAACCATTAGGTGGAAGATTTCTCTCTCTCTCTCTCTCTCTCTCTCTCTCTCTCTGCTTCATTCACTCTCTCCCTCCTCCTCAATTTATCACTCTTTTTCTCTTTTCCTCTCTTCCCCTTCTCCTCCCCCTCCCTCCTTATTGCTCTCCTAAATAAATAAATCTCTGAAAATCTTTCCTAAATTTGAGAGGAAGAATGAAAGTTGTTCCTCTATTATTGGAGGCTATCCTGACGGTCCACCAGAAGTTTAGAGAGACATTGGCTTTGTGAAGGAAACAAAACACCACAGAAAGTTCCAGATGCCTCCTCATTAATACAAAGGGTATGACTCCATTACTGACAATGCAGAGCCAAACCCATCTGAGTTCCCCATCTTTGAGTACACTAGAACATTTATTCCAAGAGTTTATTTTTTTTTTATCACATTCATGTCTTCTTCCCAAGTCTCCGTGTGCAGGTGGGCAGGTCTGGTTGATTTCACAAGCACTTGCCTTCGAGTGTGGAGCCTGGAGGATCCATTTCAGCTCTTGGATTTCAGGGGAGTTAGGAGCTTCCCGCAACAGTTCCACTACCTGGTTCATGAAAAAGCATACATCATGGAACTTTAAAAAGTCTCCACCTCTTGGATAAACACATCCAAGTGAGATAACAGTTACATTGACTAACAGGATATTGACCTAAGAAGCCTTTTGGAGCTTTAAGTCATCATCCGTCCTCATTAATTAATATCTAGTAAAGTGGGTCAAATCCAGTGTTTGGAGTGGTCTTAACCCAAACACCTGGTCCTGGCACATCATATTCTAGGAGAAAGAACTGACCATATCTGTCACAGCATATGTGACAGGTGTCATCCTTCTGGAGGTTATAAAATAGCTGTTGGCTAATGTCAGCACTTCACAGGAATATTAAGCACCCGGGGCACTTAGGTAGTTTAATCCCATGGGATGCTCCAGTCTTCAAATAGGAAGTAGGAACAATAATTTCTGGGGCTAGCATCATGGCACAGCACGTTACCCTACTACTTAGGATGCCTTTGCTCCACATGGATGTGCTGGTTTGAATCCAAGCTACTCTGCTTCCAATCCAGCTTCCTGCTAACGTAGCCTGGGAGACAGCAGAAGGTAAGCCAAGTACATGGGATCCTACCACCCACGTGGAAGATATGGATGGAATTCCAGGCTTCTGGCTTCACCGTGGTCCTACCTCAACTGTCACAGGCACTTGAAGAGTGAACCTGTAGATGCAAGATTCTCTCTTTTTCTCCCCTTCCTCTCTCCCTGTCTCTCTCTTCCCATCTCTCTCTCTCCCCTTTACAAGTAGAAGAAAATAACTAAACTTTTAATTTTTTTCTATTTCAGGGTATGGCATTTGATTAGCTATCATAATGTCTGTTGCAGTGTTAAAGTTATAATGAAAGGAGCTGTGATGCTGTGTTTTAGAGGTGGTCCTCTTTCCAAGGAGCTGAGCCTGATGACTTTCCAGTAGTCCAGCATCCTGATGCCCAGTCATATCAGGACAAGCATTTTACAAGGTCTTCCCTTCATCCACTGGGAATACAGTAGAAAAAAACATGCATGTGTTTTCTTATGGGCAACCGTGAACAAACTGAGCTGCTGGTTCCTATGATTGAGGGTAGACCTTTAACCCTCTAGTTTTCTCTATTTCTTTTAATATAGTTTGGGCGATAAATTAAAAATGAATTAAATACATTAATCCATTCAAAAAAACTTCTTGGACATCGGCTATACAGGCAGACAAAAATCTCCATTTGTATGGTGCTGACATGGCAATGAAGAAACAGAGACAATAAATTGACTTTATAAGAATAGTTTTTGTTGGATGATGAGAAGTTAAGAAGTATAACTCAAGCCAGGTAATTAGGGACCACTAGGGAGGAATATAAGTTTAGCTTTGTGACCAGGAAAAGATTCATTGAGAAAGTGGTGTTTGAGGAGATGAGGGAGAAAGTTGGCGGCTGTATAGGCAAGAGCATTAGTGATAGGAAAAAGCAAGAGCAAAGAGCCTGTGGCAGGAGTGGATCTGATGAATTCAAAGAACCACAAGGGGTCATTATAGCTGGAACAGCGAGGAGAGGAGAGAGCCCTGAGTGTGAAGTCAGGAGGTCACAATGTTGGACTATGGAGGAACTTCAGCGTTTACACTGAGATGAGAGAGTGGAGAAGTAACACAACTGCACTTACTTGTACAGAGTATCTTTCTGGCTGCTGATTGGGAATATAGTGGGGCAAGATTAGAAGCAGGAGAACAGGCAGAAGGCTTCAGTGCCGTTATCCATGGAAGAGAGGATGATGCTTATCTGAGGTGGCCCAGCGGGGCTAAGAGTCTGGGCTATGTTGTAAGGAGAAGCTGACAGGAGTTGCCACTAGATTGACTGTGAGGGATGACAAAAGCAGAATTTTCACTTGAGGGCACATGAACAGAGATGTCATCATTGTGCTGGAAAGAGCTGCAGGAGTGAGAAGCGGGAAGGTCAGGGGCTCAGCTGGAACATGTTCAGTTGGAGGTGTTTGAAGCATCCAGGTAACATGGGTCAATATTTGAGATAAAAATTCAGGAGAACGGTCCATGCTAGAGTTATAAATTTCCATGGCTGGTGTTACAGCACAGCAAATAAAACCACTGCCTGCCATGCTGGCATCATGTGTGAGCACCAGTTTGAGTCTTAGCTGCTGCACTCCACCTCTCTGCTAATGTGTTTGGGAACAGCAGTGGAAGATGGTCCAAGTACTTGGGCCCCTTGAACCCACATAAGAGACCCAGAAGAGGCTGGGTCTTCTAAAATAAATAGAGCTATAAATTCAGAGGTCGTTACTATAACTCTATTCTGTTTACATATGGCAAATTGAGAGCAAGGTTGAGGGGAAAGCAAGAAATAAGCAGCTGCATGCTAACAATGCAGGAGTTTCTGTTTTAATTTGAGAAAATAGCCAGCTAATTTTCTGCCTTATATTCAAGTTCAATGGTAAACATTGAGAAGCCCACGTATCAGTGACATGTTTTCACTGGGGCCTCTGGGTCTTCTTTAACAACACTGCAGATCAGCCACCTTCCCACATTGCTCTGCCATTCTAAGGCGAAGCTACCTTACCTCGTGGGATAACGCCTGTGCATGGTGTGTGGCAGGAGCCAGTTTCCTCGCTTTGAATTCCTGGAGGCAGTCATACACCTGCAGGAGGACAAGGTGGGAGAAGTGACAGCGATAAAGTGATGGCCAGCACTTGGAATCGAGGGTTTTCAAATGAACTCAAGCGGCTCCAACGCTTCAAAGGTCTGTGGGAAACTGACCTTCTCCATGCAATTCATTGCTAAAAAGAAACCCAAAAATCACTAAGCTAAACGTGAGCAGGGTTTCTGGGGCTGCAAGGAGGACCTTTTGGGGGAGCCCTGGGCACTGTGGGGGGCACTGGTACTGTGCTCTCGGTGCACTACCTCTGCTCTCCTGACCTGATCTTGGGAACTAGCTGTTTGTCCCACCAAAGTTCATTCCTAAAAATTCCGACTTCCTGGGAGACTGCTGGTGGAAAACCAATGTTTCAAAACTTGTGCTGTGAAGACTGTTTTGTTCATGCTAAAGACACTGTCGCTTTTTCTTAGGAGCTTAATATTAATGTGTCACATTTCACACTGAAGTGAAGCAAACACCCACAGTCTCAAAAATGACCTCAAAAAAATTCTTGATAACATTTTGTTCTGAACAGCGTGATTATTGCAGTGGCATGTACCACTTAGCGATTCTATTACATAGTGCATGGCATTTTGGCCAAATTACAACGGAAGAAGAAACATTTAGGTGAGGAAAATCTTGAGATTCTTTAAAGTACAAACATCTCACTTTCCAAGACAAATAATTTTTTGAAATTATTTTTTGTTAAAAAAATAAATTAAAAAGAAAAAAGAAATTATTTTTTGTTGGGGCAGGCGTTTGGCCCTGCAGTTAAGCCACTGCTTTCAACACCCACATTCTATTGGAGTGCCTGGTTGGAGACCTGGCTGCTTTGCTTCCAAACCAGCTTCGTGCTAACTAACGCACACTCCGGAGGGCACACTCCGGAGGGCCGAGGCAACGATTCAAGTGCTTGGATCCCTGTCACCCCTTTGCTGGATTGAGGCACTCACTCTGGGCTTTAGCCCGGCCCACCCTTGCTTATTCCTGGCATTTGAGGAATGCGCCTGCGATGGAAGATCTCTTTCTGCTTCTCAAATGGATTTAAAAGAACAATAAAGGATTCTTGTTTGTTCCAAGTTGGCCTTAAGGACGAAGTATTGTGTGCAACTGATCAGCTGTTGCTGCCACTGTGAAGGGTGCTTGGTGATCCCAGAGGCTGTGGAAAGGAGAGGGTGTGGGAGAAAAGGAGAGGAGAGGAGGAGGGAAGAGGAAAAGAGGGATAGGAAAGGGAAAAAGGAAAAGGAGCTCTGTGATCTTTCCCACCGAAGTCATTTCCTTTCTAAGAGGTCTGTGCACCTCCTGCCTGAAGACTGCCTTCCAAGAACTTTCTCCAAGTTGAACTCTCTTGTCAATTGGCAAGCAATATTATTGAGCTGCTATGACCAAATCCTTGCGTGCCCCCAAACTTCACATGCTGACCTCCTCAGGCCTGAGATGATGATGTTAGGCAGGCGATCATGTCACAAGGGGCAGCCCCCATGGCTGAGATGAGTACCCTTGAGCAAAAGGCCTGAGAGAGACCTCTGGCACCCATCCATCATGTGAAGGCACCACAGTGAGAAATTTCTCAGGGAGCCCAGCACAGACACGAAGTTAGCCAATGCCTTGATCTTGGGCTTCCCAGCTTGCAGGACGGTGAGAAATCAATTTCCAGTGTTCTTGCGCTGCCTTGTGGGAGCAGCCTAAGCAGACTAACGTGATGGGTCTCTGCCGCCCTCTGCAGGCACAGGCTTCGTAGCTAAGGAGCTCTCACCTTCAGCAGAGCCTGCAGCCAAGGGGAGTGGAGGAGGTCGTACAGAAGGCGCACTCCGTTCACGTCCCTGCTGTAGAACAGACTCAGCTCCTGCAGCACCAGTCTCAAGATGTGGGAGAGGCCTAGAAGGAGAGAGGGCAGAGACCAGGGGGCAGGTGGGGGCAGTAAGAAAGGCAGCTGGAATTGCACAAGGTGGCTCAGACCTCTAGGTCATGCCTCTCGATCTCAGGAGGAGAAGTATCCCTGGATTTAAAAGGGCATGATAACTGGCTTCCAGCCCTGGCCCATCGCCTGCCATGTGAACTTCCAAAGTTCATGCAACTCTTTGAAACCCAGTTTCCTTGTGGCCAAATGAGAATATGAGGCCACTGCAAAAGTTTTTGGGAAACATGTATCCTGAAAAACATACACATATTTTCCAACTTTTTGTTTTACAGATTTTTAATTTTTACTTCAAAGTCAGATATACAGAGAGGAGGAGAGACAGAGAGGAAGATCTTCTGTCCGATGATTCACTCCCCAGGTGACTGCAATGGCCGGTGCTGCGCCAATCCGAAGCCAGGAGCCAGGAACTTCTTCCAGGTCTCCCACACACGGGTGCAGGGTCCCAAGGCTTTGGGCCATCCTTGACTGCTTTCCCAGGCCACAAGCAAGGAATTGAATGGAAAGTGGGGCCACCAGGATTAGAATTGGTGCCCATATAGGATCCTGGCACGTTCAAGGGGAGAACTTTAGCCACTAGACCACTGCACCGGGCCCAAATTTCCAAAATATTTCACACCAAAATAGATTTATCTTTTAATTACATTTTTTTCTTGAACTTCCAGAAAGACTCTCTTATGCTGACTTTCTCATAGAGCTGTTGCTAATGTTAGCTGGAATAAAAAAGGTATCCTGACTGTAATGTGACTGTATTCCCTGCCCCAATCCTTCCAGCCTGCCCTTTATCCCAGAATAATTTCAATGGTTCCTGTATCTTCTTCCTCTATCTTAAACATAGTCATTTGTATGTACCCTTTCTGAAAACTGTTAATGAAAATGTGTTGAAAGCTCTGACAGTTTTAGTATAAATCTCAACTGATTAATGGACTAAATGGAATTTAATGAATGCTTTTTTAAGCGAATGTATTCATAGAAATCCTGTTTTTATACTGGTATTTTGAATGTGAATAAGGTAAGTGTTGTTTTTTTTTTTTTCAATGTTTCTTTTCACCTACTTGAAGGTGGAAAGAGAGAATCCATGAGTTCATTTCCTAAATTCCCACAACAGCTGACGTTAGGCCAAGCCAAAGGCAGGAGCTAGGAATTCCATCTGGAAGTCTCGTGTGAGTGGCAGGGGCCTTAGCACTTGGGTTATTATCTGTTGTCTCCCAAGACACATTAGCAGGAAGCTGGATCAGAAGCTGAGTAGCCAGGACTGATGCACTGATGTGATAAGCCAAGCATCCCAAGTTGGAACTTAACTTGCTGGGACACAGCACTTAATTCCTCTTCTACACAAAATATTGCAGGGTAGAAGGCAGGAGGGTTCTGAATCCATCAACTGACTTCTTCTCTTGAAAATTGCTCTTGGGTCCGGTGCCTTGAATGCATCAGGATCCCATGTGGGTGCCAGTTCTAATCCCGGCTGCCCCGCTTCCCATCCAGCTCCATTCTTGTTCCCGGGGAGAGCAATCAAGGATGGCCCAAGCCCTAGGGACCCTGCACTCGCGTGGGAGACCCAGAGGAGGTTCCTGGCTTTGGACAGGCACAGCTCCAGCTGTTGCAGCCGCTTAGAGAGTGAATCAGTGGACAAAGGATCTTCCTCTCTGTCTCTCCTTCTGCCTTTGCATATCTGACTTTCCAATAAAAATAAATCAATCTTTAAAAAGGAAAATTGCTCTCAAGCTTGCCAGGAGGATTTGTAGCAAAGACATCACATCTGCCCGACAAGCTGTTTGCAGGCATCACTGAAACCCCCTGGGATTCTTTCCATCCACTTAGCAGTTACTTAGGAGATGATCTTAGTAAAGGAACCCATGCTCCACATACCGTTTTCAGATTTGGTTGCTGAAGAACGTCTCCTGTCCTTCCGCTCACGTGGGTTTGTTCCCTGGTCTGAGTGTATCATCCTCCCTGCCTGAGCTTCGAAGGGAATTCAGACCTAGAAAGACAAGGACGCTCCGTAGCTCACGCTGGCCACACAGCTCTCAGCACACTGCAGTCCATTTTCCAAGATTTTGATTGCGCAAGCCTTACACTATGTCCCACTCTGGGATGACACTGTCCTGTAAAGCAGCTTACCCCATCTCCTTTTTTTTTTTAACTTCAATTCATATAAAATTAGATTTCACATTTTTCACTACACATATTTATAAACATAGCACATCCTCTTTTTTAAACAGGTGACAAATCACTGTACAAGCAAACTCCAAAATATCTATGGGAGGTGTGTGTTGGAAAACAGTGATGCGTGGACTTTGAAAATGTTACTGCACTCACACATATTTTACTTGTACTTCCCTGAACATTTGGGTATGTTTCTATCTGGTTCATGGGGAAGGTCATAGGTAGAGGTATCCCAGGGCTGCAAGGACAGTCCCAGGCCTTTAGGCCCTCAGGGAAGAAGCTGCCTCTAGCTCACAGCTCCACCACCTAGGGGAGTCATAGAATTCTCTAAATTAACACACCTCTCCCATATTCATTCTCTTTTAGTCTTAAGACTGAATGTTCCAATTTTCTTTCTTTCTTTTTTTTAACTTGATATTCATCTTTATTTTCTTTTTTCTTTTTTTTTAATTTCGTTTTATGACACAGTTTGATAGGCTCTGGGATTCCCCCAACCTCTCCCCAAGCCCTCCCCCCACGTTGGATTCCTCATCATCGTTGCAGTAGTACAGTTAATATCCAGTCATAATTCCTTCATTGCAGGCAGGTACCATGCATAGGGTCCAGTGTCCTATTGTCCAGATAAATTCAACAGTTTCATTGGGAGACCATCCCCGGTCTGAAAGTATAGCTGGCAGAGTATCATCCCCTCCAATGTAATGCCACAACACAACATCAATAACAATTTATAACACCATGGAGTGTTCTGCCTCATCAGCCTTGGTTGAACCATTCATCCCAATGGTTGCAGGTGGAACTCATGTTCCTTAGAGAGGAGAGCACTTCCAGGGTGTGGAATTTGGAAAGGGAGATGCAGTGCCTGGCAGATAAGTCAGGGCAGCAGATGGGGCTGGTACCAGGCAACCTTAGCAGGTCTCACAAGCCACATATCCTTGATGAAGCCACTCAGATTAAATGCCTATTGCTGTATTATTTACAGCTAACTTCAGGGGTAGCTAGCTAACTTTCATGTATTTCAAGCAGCTCATTTTGATCCAAAGTTTCTCACTTATGGAGGCAACCCCACAATTCTAACAACCATGCATTCCTGGGTATCTTGAGATTTCTGCAACAAATTTACTATTGGCCACTCTCCAGTCACACGATCAAGATCCAACTACTAGGGTGATGGTTTTTGGAGATAATTAGGTTAAGGTGAGTTCATGTGAGTGAAGCCTCATCCTTCATGACATTAGTGCCCATAGAAGGCCCTTAATCCCATCCCCCCAGCAACAACAACAACAAAAAAGAAGCCATTTCCTTTCCAGAAGCAGCCCTAAGAGAATCTTCACTACAGCCCAACCTTGCTGGCACTCTGATCCTGGTTGCAGCCTCCAGAATGTTAGGAAAATCAAAGTTTGTTGCTTAAGCCACTTATTCTAGGGTATTTTTGTTATCACAGCCCCATCTTCCAGGGCCCAGCACAGTAGCCTAGTGGCTAAAGTCTTAGCTTTGCAAGACTGCTCCACTTTCCATCCAGCTCCTTGCTTGCAGCCTGGGAAAGCAGTTGAGGATGGCCCAAAACCTTGGGACCCTGCACCCACCCATATGGGAGACCTGGAAGAAGCTCCTGGCTTCAGATTGGCTTGGCTCCAGCTGTTGCTGCCTTTCGGGAGTGAACCAGCAGATCTTCCTCTCTGTAATGTCTGATTTTCCAATAAAAATAAATTCATCTTAAAAAAACAACAACAACAACAAAAAAACGAATCTTCCCCTCCTCTAGGTAGCTAAGAAAACGGCTGTGAATTTTCATCTTTAGAGCACTTCTCCCTCCTAATCTTCTTTTTCATAAACTTGTTCAGTGCCCCGTACGTTTATCTGGAGAAGCAGAGTTCATCTTGCTCACATCACAGCCTCACCTGCCACAGGGCTTGGACCTTAGCACGCCCCCCTTGTTTGCAGTTCTTGTTAGGATGGTATGGAAAAACAAGACACCAAGATATGGAAGTAAAAGGCCGATCCCTCCCACAAGGCTCTGGAAGCAGCTGAGAAGTTAACTCGGAGGCAGGAGGTAGCTTTGCCCCACTTTCTCTCCAGCCTGGTTCATAGCCTCCCCCCTCCTTCTCTACCCAGCCGGAAAATCAGGAGCTGAAGAGGTGCAATCTTCATTTTACAGAGAAGAAATCTGACATTCAATGAGATGCTCAGGGTTGAGTGAACCAGGGGTAAAGTTGAATTTTCCTCTTCTGTTTCCCTTGTCCCAAAAGATGCTAGTGGCTAGCAGGACTGAGGTGTCCCCCCTGTCCTTGGGATTTCTGCACCGACCTCATCAGCTGCGCTGCAGCCCTGTTCGCTGTCTCAGAATGAGAACTCCTGAGTGAGCCTACAAGTAAGTCAATAGCCAAACTTCATTAGGGTTGCTGACTCTGACAGAATGTATCCCAAAAATTACTTTAAGAATCAGTATTTCCATTAGCTTTAAAAAATGTACCAACTGCCGTTAAATAGTATATAACCTCCAACTCCTACTATTCATGTTTTTCAAAATAACACTTTTTGCCAGAACAACCTCTAAAAAGTACCTGAAATTTTAAAAGAAATGACCCTTACTGCAACATCATTGACCAGGATGAGTTCTCAATTTTATTGTCTCTAGGACAACTCTTTATTCCACACTCAGGAGATGGCTTCCCAAAACAAACTTGTTCTTCTAAATAAAATTCTTCAATTTGGATCACTATGAAACAGAAGCACTTGCACTAGATTACCCAGCATCCTATCCTTAGCTGTTCAAAATGGACAGAGGAGGCAGCCCGCTGGAGGACTGCTCTTCTGGTAACCGAGGAGTATTGGGCAAGATCGCTTACCTGTAAGACTGTACAATTGCTGTTGTTCCTGCACAGGAAGCACGCGTGGGCCCTTAGCTGCCAAAGTCACCTCGCTGCTCTAGATAAAATCTCTGCACATGCTCTCGGACCTAATCCGCAGGCCTCGCCCAGGCTAACCACTGAATTCCCCCTTAAGTATCTCGCCGCAAATCTTCTTACGTGTCCCTTGCACCCAACAATCCATTTTGTATCATTCTCAACCTTCACCTCATCCTTCCTTTTTCAGGTTACCAGCAAAGGGTTAACACCAAAAATATTTTTGTTAACTGTTTTGGGAATATTGGCACTCCACAAAAAAACAACTACAACAACAAAACCAAAAAACCACACATCTCTTTTAACCAAAGGAAAAATTGTGGGTGGAGCTGGATTATTAACATCCTCACGTGACTGAGTAAATGAGAGAAGACCCTCAGCCAGTCCTTCCGGCCAGCTAACAAGTCCCTAGGCAGTACTCAACCAAGAGTTAGCTCATCCTCCACCCAAGATTGCAGTCATGAGCATCGCTTGCCATCTGAGGGAGAACTGATTCAGGACACTAAAATTGTCAACTGCTCAAGTACTTTACATAAAATGGTGTGGCATTTGCACATAGCTAAGGCGTATCTCACTGTATACTTTTAAAATCACTTCTTGATTACTTAGCTAATACCCTGTTGATATTTGAACTGTTGCAATGTTTAGGAAATAATGAAAACACTACACATTTAGGGCAGAAGCAACTTTTAAAGAACTATTTCTATCTGCCATTGGTTGAAGCTTACAGGTATGGAACCTGTAGGTAGAGAACCAACCATCTTAGCTGCTGTGAAAATTCTGTTGCAGGGCCTGGTCAGTGGGAAGCAGGCCATTTGGAAGCAGTTATCACAGAGTGTAAGACAAAGGGTACTGATGGCAATTTTCACAAGTTCATCAACTCCTTTATCCAGGATAAACAACAGGCTACATTTTCTGCTCTTCAGTAGATAAAAATACAATGGGAGTACCTGTCAGTGTTTTGTACATAGTGTATTTTATTAAAAAAAAATAATTCCAATGAAGTTTTCAGGTTTTTTTTAAAGGCTTCTATTTGAAAGGAGGATTTACAGAGAAGGGAAGAGAGATCTTCCATTCACGGGTTCTTTCTTCAAGTGGCCTGAACAGCTATAAATGAGCTATCCGAAGCAAGGAGCCAGGAGGCAGGAACTTTTCGTCTTCCATGTGGGTGAAAAGTATCCAGGCTTTGGGCCATCCTCTACTGCTTTCCCAGGCCATAAATAGGGAGCTGGATCAGGAGTGAAGCAGCTGGGACACAAACTAGTTCACACATGGGATGCCGGCACCACAGGTAGAGAATTACTTTGCAAAGCCACCTCGCCAGCCCCTACTTTCACAATATTCAATGTATCACCCCTCTGAAAAATGACACCTCTGGGAGCTTTGGTATCAAAGAGCACTGGAATTAGAGTAGTAAAGCTCTCAGGTGCAGGTTCCGCCCTGGCAGTGCGCTAGTCACAGCACTCTTTTTCTGCAACATGGGAGGAACAGGGTTAGCGTCTGCCTCCCAGGCTGCCATGGGCATTCCTCCTGAGTGTGACACATCTGCAAAGTGGCAGCAGCATGCTGTGTGGCTCCCTTCACACTAAGCTTTGCTGAGACTTGGAAATGTGTCATTTTAATGCATGACCTGAAAAGCGTGAGTGTAGTGTGAAGGCTCTCCAAGAAGTAACTGGACAGTTTCACTGAGGACTCTAGCAAGAAGTCTCCACTAGGACTAACCGTCCACACAACAGCTAAATCCTCAACTTGCAAGCCGCAGGATCCCAAGAGGGGTGCTGGTGTGTGTCCCAGCTACTTCACTTTCCATCCAGCTCCCTGCTTATGGCCTGGGAAAGCTTGGGACCCTGCACCTGCATGGGAGACCCAGAAGCTCCTG